TGGGGGGGAGGGCGGCGGGGGGGCCGGGAGGGACGGGGGGGGGGCAAGCCAGGGACCCTGTCACCTCCCCTGCCCCGGGCCCGGGGAGCCGCCCTGCATCGCCCGTCGAGCCCCAGCAGCAGGGAGTGGATGTTGCCGTCTGTTGCCAGAAGTTTGCAAGTCTTCCAAGGAAGGAAGAAGAAAAAAAAAAAAATGCCTTCGCTGGGGGCGTCTGCGTAGTCCGAGGAAACGTTTGTTCGTATTTGTATTTATTTGCTGATTTTTACCTTCTGCACGCCAGCAAGACATCGTTTCAAGTGGTTGTAAATCTTCAGGAACTTCGTAAAGCTCCTTGTGGTACTGCTACTCATTAACCATAACGTGTACCTCTGGCAAGTTAAGGTAATTTGAACGGTCAGGTCAGATAAATCAGATAGATGGCTTGCGGTCCTTCAGGTTGTGTGTGTTTTATATGCATGCTAAGCGCCCTTAAGGAGCTTAGAGCCTAGAGATGGCGAAAAGTTTAAGGAAGTTAAAGAGAAAAGAAGCGGGGGTGGGGGATGGGGGGAAGCCCCACACAGTTAGGAACTTTGAAAAACAATACTGAGAGATTGACTTAAGGAAGGAGTCTTTAGCGCTGGGCTTTAGATGGATGTGGTCAGAATTGTCTTGGGTTTATTTCCCAAATATCTTAGGAACTATGTATGAGGGTGAGGCTTAGTTTACTTATTTATTTGAGACAGGGTCTCAAACCTGCCTCGGGCTCCAGAGTATTGGAATTAACACACACCAGGGCAGAGAATGAGATTTTCGATAGGCATGCAAACTGAGATTTACCTTATTTTAGAACCGTTGACGTTTTTCTTTAGCTAAAGCCAGGAGTAGTATCTCACACCTGTAGTTTAGTGTTTAGGATGTTGAGACAAACATGGAGTGTTCCCAGCCAACCTGGGCTTATGTACAGGGATCCAGACCAGCATAGGCTAAGTAGTTTCAAAAAACGAAATCAAGGAGACAGTTTAATGTAATACTAAGAGTCAGAGAAGTCTGGAAGATTTGGTTTGTTGTACCTTGGAATGCAGTTCTTTTACATAGATAGCTGTAGGTTAGGAATGAACTCCTGACTTTAACCTTTGGTCCTGTTTATGGATTCCAAGTTAGGGCACCTTTACTTATTCTTTCATTATTTTAGTGTGGGGGGAGGGGTAATATGCACATGTATGTGCAGGCACTTGCACCCTTGAATATAGGTTGAGATCAGAAGACCGGCACCCTGCTCTCACTTTCTCCTCTTTTGAAACAGGGTCTCCCCCTAAACTGGGAGATAAGGTGGTGGCCTGCAGGCTGTGACAATCTTCCTCTCACATTAGTTACAAGTGACTGCCCTCATCCTCTTTTTATGTGGGTTTGCACTCAGGCCCTCATTCTTACCCAGCCAGCCTTCTTACCTGCTGAACCATCTCCCCAGAATCCCAAAGTACCTCTAAAATTTTTAATTATCTAAAATTAACCTCATCTCTGTAATTTCCTCTCTGTAGGAAAAATTAAGGTTCTTGGGTTTTGCCCTGTGCATTTTTATCTTCTCCCTCCCTCCCTCCCTCCCTCTCTCCCTCCCTCCCAGCTAAATGTTTACAAGTGTAGTTGCTGACAACCTTTATTAGCCTTTCTTATGAATAAAATAAGGAATTAACTTCTGGACATTCTAAATTCTGGATTACCTGTTTAATGACATTTAGTCTTTTGTGTGATGAATTAATATTCCCACAGTGTTATTGAGGAATTTGAGTGGCTTTTCACTGAGACCATAAAAAAGCAAAAGAAAGCCAAAAGTCCCTTCTGAGGATCCTGTGAATTCTAGGTCCAGTATAGTGTCACGAGGGTGTGGCTGTTCTGCTGCAGTTACCTAGTTTATGGTTTAATCATTTCAGTCTCTTGGGAATGAGGAAAAGGGGAGGGGCTTTTATGTTTTGACAACTGATTTTTAATTTTAATTTAGAACTTTTTTGTTTTTGTTTGGTTGGTTGTTTTTTGTTTTTTAATTTAACCACTGATCTCCATCTCTTTCGATCCAGTACTGAGAATCTAGTTCAGAGTCTTGAGCCTCATCCCTCAGCTTTTAATATAACAGTCATGATGTCTATCCTAAGTTAGTTTTGCTGCAGACTTCCCCTTTAATCATGGCTAAAGACAGTGTTGTATTACTAGATCAGTTGGAATATTAATTGAAATGTAGACCTGAAATTGGAAGTGTTTTTATAGCAAGAATCAAATGGGATTGCTTCTTGGCCTTTTGGCTAAGATCAAGTGTAGAGCAGAACAAGATAGTACAGCTCTGAGTAAATACTCAGCAGATTGAAATTGGATGTTTCTCTAGAATTTTTGTTTTTTGTTTTGTTTTTAAAGCACCTGTATGGGTACGGAATCTCTCAATGTTAATTCCAAAGTCCAAAAGGCTGTGAAATGTTTTTTGTTGTCGTTGTTGTTGATCTCATTTGTTAGCATGGCTTGAACTGATGAAGGTGCTATTTGTAGTCATTATATATCTTACTGTATGTGGATATTCTTTTTTTTTTTTAATGCTATAGAAATAACACTCAGTTTGATTGATGGAGGACTTCCCACATCAGTGTGGAGATTGGATGCAATAGGCTGTATATTTACTCTGTAAGATGGGTGGGCCATGACAGAAGCTGTTGGAAGGCAGAGAAACAAGGAGTTATTCCAAGGAGCTGTCATTGCAAAATGAGGTGTCTCGCTGGACATCTGGCAGGGGAGTGAGAAGCTCTGTCTGCCAAGAAAGCCTTCAGGAAGGTACGGCTCCAAGAGGCATGTGCGAAGTTCTGTGCTGGGTGTTGGGTGTTCTGGGCAAGTTGTGTTACAGATTACACTGTGGAACCAGGATGCATAACCATGAAACGTGGAGCCATGAAGATGAGCTGGAATGCTGGACCACAATGTAATAAAGGGTGAATCTGTGCTAATTGGAATAAGAGACGTAAACAGGGGAAAAGGAAGAAGAATCATAAATAAACTGCATCTAATATTGAAACATGGAAGCTCTAAGTGTCAGACTGTACAAGCAGCAAGTACAGGGATAGAGTTTTTGAGAAGTCCTGGCTTGCAGATTCTGCCGTGCTTGGGGATGGTAGCATCTCTTACCTTACAGTGCCTTATTTCTCACTTTTAAAGGGGCCCTTATTGAATTGTGTTCCATTTCTTCCGGAACTGTTAGCTGCCTGCTCTGGATTATTCCTCGTCTCAGGGAGTTTGCCCTTTCACATTTAATGTAGTGTACTATTGCACTCTAATTACAATTGAGATAATTGGATTATTAATCATGTCAAAATGGAATGAATAAGCTTTGAGGGATTTATGTCAAATTTGTGAGTTCTCAAACAATAAATTGCTGTTTAGATCTCCGTTTTTTACTTTCTGGTACTGGATTTTCAACTAGATGCCAAGTGGCAAGACTGCTGGATATTTCTGATGGGGGAAGTCATTCTGTGTATACGTTTGTCTTATCGGTTGATAAATTAAGCACTGTTGGCCAATAGGAAAGCAAGATAGGTAGGGCTAGGAGTCGAGGAGGATTCTGGAAAATGTAGTAGAGACAGGGGGTCGCCATGTGATCACCGGCAAGAGAGGACACATACGGCTGGCGTCCTCAATAAGACAAGTTCTTATAAAATATGTAGATTAGTAGTTATGGTTGATATGAAGACTGAGCTAGCAGATAAGATATCCTAGTCATTGGCCAGCAGCATTGTACCTAATATTAATCTCTGTGTGTTATTTTGGGCGCCCATGTGGCAGCAGGGGCTGTGGAGGCTTGTGGAACACATTGCAACTTTTAGAGGAGTGTCAGTGGGGAGATGCTGACAAGTAAGTGTGCCTTTGGGTTCTTGGATGTCCAGAATAAGACAGGAGAGTTTGTTATGTGAAATGGAGATTTTTTTTTTAAGAAATAAATATCAAAAAATATCAAAGCTGCACTAATACTTTAAGTACTTACTGACTTGCCGCCCAGGGTTGAGAAGGCTCTATGGAAGCTAATGTCTTTGAAAAACCTAGCACTTTATGAAAAGCTCCAAAGTACTGGAGATATAGCAGAGTGAAGAGAAGAGAAAGAACAATGGTTTGTAAAGTTTATTAAGATGTGTCAGTAGCTGTGATAGTCATTGTCATTAGTAGCAGCCATTAGCAACAGTGTGAAGTAGTTAAAGGAACATAGACATTGAAACTGGACATAGATGTTACTTTGTTCTACATAAATAGTATTTTAGCTTTGAACAGATGTTCTCCTCTCCTCTGCCTTGGGAGGTCATTTCTTCCTTCCTTTCCTTCTTTGCTAGTGATCAAACCCAGGGTCTCATGCCTGCTGTGTAAATGAGTCACCACTGGGGCACAGCTGCAACCTGTAGACAGATTTCTTAACCCATTATCTTTGTCTATTACCAATAATTCTTAGAGCTGGGTCTGGTGCCACACGTCTGTACTGCTGGCTGCTTTGGTGAGCTAAAGAGAGAGTGAGCCGGTTAGCTAAAGAGAGAGTGAGCTGGTTAGCTTTGTCAACTTGGCAAACTTGGCGGAATCGGGGCCCTCAACTGAAGATTTGTCCTGACTACTGATCGATGGACTGTGGCAGCGTTATCCCTAGGCTCATGGATTAGATTGTATAAGGTAGCTGAGCAAGTCAGTAAGCAGTTTTCCTCCAGGGTCTGCTGCTGGGCCCACTTCCAGGTTCCCTACTTGAGCTCTTGCACTGGCTTCTCTTCCCTTGGTGACGGCCAGCGATGGAAGGATGAAGCAAATAAACTTTTTTTTTTCTCCAAATTACTTTGGGTCAGTGGTTTGTTTGTTTGTTTGTTTGTTTATTTATTGGGTTTTTTTTTTTTTTCAAGACATGCTTTCACTATATAGCCCCGGCTGTCCTGGAATTCACTCTGTAGACCAAGCTGCATTCAAACACCTCTGTCTTCCAAGTGCTGGGATTAAAGGCGTGCACCACCACTGCCCAGCATTGGTCATCAACAGAAAGTAAACGAAGGCAGAAATTGGTACCAGAGGGTGGGATGTTGCTGTGAAGGACCTGGCTGTGTGGGCTTAAATGCCTTGGACTGTTTTGTGGACTATTTTGGAAGTTTGGGTTGGGGAAGCCATTGAGTGCTCAGCATTAATAAGCTGTTAATTTAGAAGATGAGAATTTTGGGAGGAGGGCAAACAGACAGTGGAGGCCTGGCTTCTGGAATTTCAGAAGGAAGTTTGATCGTGTCTAAGGCTACGAAGGCCACTTGTGTGCTGTTTGAATTAAGAATCTGTGGAAATAACACCTTTAGCTTACTGAGACAATAGATGCTGGTTAGCTAGGGCTGAAAAACCAGCTGTGATCAACAAGAGACTAGTTTTATTGAGGTGAAATTTTATGTGTTTCCTTAGGGTCAGCACATAGAAGCTGTGGTTCAGAGGGGTTCAAGGCTGCATCTCCATCTGGCAGCTGAACTCGGTGGTGTGTGCCTCCTATGTAGTACTGGTTTTGGAGGCATGAAAGTGCAGGATTAGAGGGGGTATGGAGAGAAGCTGAGGCTTGGCACCATGTAACAACAGGTCAGAGTCTCTGAAGAGAGGCTAGGAGGTCGTTGGTGAAGGCACAGTCTCTGTTGCAGACTCCAGCATATTAGCGATACCAGTGCCATGGGGTGACCACTAAGAACATCAGCAGGTATGGAGTGGAGCTGGCCTGCGCAGGCCTGTGAGACAGCTTGTGTGTGTGTGGCGGGTGGCAGAGCAGAAGTGGAACTTCCCAAGCCCAGAAGATTGAGAGTTCCAGATGCTGGACGTGGAGCTAGAGAATTTGCCGCATGTTGTTTTTGTATTGACTTGACTACAGCTATGCTTGTTTTTTCCCTCTTGGAATAAGTATCTGACTTATTTTTAATTATACATGAACCCTTAGTTGAGTAACGTTGGACTTTTTGTTTTGTTTTTTTAAATAAATTCTCCCCGTGTATCCCTGGCTGTCCTAGAATTTATTATATAGACCAGACTGGCCTCAAACTCAAAGATCTTCCTGCCTCTGCCTCCTCAGTTTAAAGTGTTTGGTTTAAAAATGTGTGCCATGATGCCAAACTTTTTTTTTTCTTCCCCAGACAGAGGGTCTAATAATGTCTCCTTGGCTGCCCTGGGACTTTGTATTATTTATTTTTCTGTTGCTGTGATAAAACACCACAGCCTAAGGCAACTTATAGAAGGAGAATTTATATGGGCTTCCAGTTCCAAAGCAATACATGTCTTTTCATGTCAGGGAAGCATGGTAGTAAGTAGCAGGCATGGGGGCAGGAACAGGAAGCTGAAAGTTCATATCTTATAACACTAGCATGAGGCAGCAAGATCAAATTCCCAAGTATGTGGTTTGAAAGAAAATGGCTCCCAAAGGGCCTTGTTGGAGGAAGTGTGTCATTGGGGATGCTGGTTTTGAGGTCTCTTTTGCTCAGGCTTCCCTTAGTGTGACACTATGTCTACTCCCTGTTGCCTGCATATCAACATGTAGCAGCTACCTCTCCAGCACCATGTCTGTCTGCACACCACCATGTCCCACCCTGATGGGCTGAAACTCTGAACTGTGTAAGTGAACCACCCCAATTCAATGTTTTCCTTTGTAAGAGATGCCGTGGTCATGGTGTCTCTTCACAGCAGTAGAAACCCTAACTAAAACAAAGTAGCACAAACTTTTAATCTCAAAAGCCCATCCCAGTGTTGTACTTCTTCCAACAAGGCTACTCCACCTAAACCTCCCCTACCAGTGCCACCAACCAGGACTAAGTGTTTAATGCCTGAGACTGGGGGCGGGGGACAATTTTCATTCAAACCACCATAGATCCGACTGGAGAGATGGCTCAGATGTTAAGAGTCCTTAACAGCTCAGCGGTTGTAACACAAATAAAACAGAGACTGATACTGGTGTTTAAGCTTCAAGCTGAATATCAGAAAAACAAAGCAGCTTCTTACCTCTACCGCAGGCTGAATGGGCTGGTCCTGTCTCCCTGAGCTCTCACCAAACCTCAGACTGTAACCTTTCTTCAGTGTGGCTGGAGAATGAATTCCTCTCTGAGACTTTGCTTCTGTCTTATGTACTTCCCTCATGTCAGCCTGGTCTACAAGAGTTAGTTCCAGGACATCGTCCAAAGCCACAGAGAAACCCTGTCTCAAAAAAAAGAATGCACGCCTTTAATCCCAGTACTCTCAAGGCAGAGGCACGTGGATCTCTGTGAATTCAAGGCTAGCCTGGTCTATATAGCAAGTTCCAGAACAGTCAGGGCTACACAGAGAAACCTGAAAAAACTAAAATAAAACAAACATACCTGCATATCTATTTTTGGTGGTTCTGAAGCTGTTGCTGCCTTTCTTTGATTGCAAAACAAAAACAATTGCAGCTGTCTATTGACAGCTTCTGACTGTATCTAAGTACACACAGTTTATTTACTCACTTATGATTTTGAGACAAAGTCTTCTGTAGCCCAGGTTGGCCTCAAATTCTGGGTAGCCAGGCATAACCTTGAACTCCTCATCCTCCTGTCTCCATCTCTTATAGCATATAGCAGCTGCCTTGGCTGTATCCTCAGATCTTCCACCTCTGTAAGCATTTTTTAGAAACCACTCAGAAATTGACTGACAGCTTTAGGTGAGCAGGAGGATCAGGAGTTCAAGGCAACCCTGTCTCAAAACAAACACAAATAAATTGTCTGAAGTGTCTGGATGATACCCCTTGACAAGTTTGCAGAGTGCATATGATAATATTCTGCCTCGTGGATTTT